CTTTAGGTGTTATTTTGCAAACTTTTGTTTCAGTTTTATGTATATACATATATATATACGTGTATGTACTAAGTCAGTACATAAAATGTAATTTTTACTGTGGGTTACAACCCAAAGTTTTGAAAACACTATACTACTAAATTCCAAAGCACACTTTACAACTCAGTCAGCTTCACTGCATTTATTCCAATGGTTCTCAACTTTTATTTTTCAACCTGATCCCCTAGATACTCTCCCACAAGAAAAACAGATCAAGATAGCAGATGAGAAAAACTCATCTACTATTCCATTCTGTTATCCAACAATTTTCACATGGGTTACTCCTATGTCCCTAACAACCCTAAGATCTCCGAAGATGGAACTGCCTCTTCCTCTAATATTTCCCTCATGTGCTTAGCAAGATAATAGCAAGTTCAGGAAGTACTTACAGGTTGACTACCGATTGCCCTCCTGAATAATTACATTAAAATTAACAAAAACTATAGGCGTTAGTCTGCTACTACACTGACGTACCAAAAATAAAAAGGGAAGGAAAAACCCTAAGCACATTAAAACTTATACATAAAATAAAATAAACAAATCTAAGTATAATTTTGTATATTAACAATGAATGCTGAATGTTACACTGAAAGATTCTACCACCATGTGGATCAAATTATATTCTCTGAAAGAATGAGAAACAAAATAAGCCCTGCCTTTTGGAATTTGTGTAGGCAATACTCTGTAAACTACAGTATTTGAAAGAGGACCCAAAAGGTTAAAAATTCAACACAAAGGTGTTACCCACTCCAGTAATCTACATCTCTGTTACAGACTTATGATAAGAGCATCCTCATCCTTCCATACCTTTTTCTACAGGTCTAAAAAACTTGATGCACATGTCTGAATCACAGGAATAAACCAATAAAAGTACACTATATATTTCAGTCTTCAGTCTAATCAGCTAAAATGGGAAATTCAGAAAATGTTCTCAAGATAACTAAGGACAGGATGAAGGGCCACCACTGTCCACCTCTCCATCTCCTGACTATAGTTAAACCGCCTGCCGACAGCACTCATCATATCCTACATTTTATTTACTTTTTTCTATCTTAACCCAGGATATGTTTTTATTGATTCAAGAGAGAGAGAAAGGGAGAGGAAGAGAGAAACATCCATCAGTTCCCTCCCATACGTGCCTGACCGGGGATCGAACCCGCAACCTAGATCTGTGCCCTGACCGGGAATAGAACCTGCAACCTTTTGGTGTACAGGACAATGTCCAACCAACTGAGCCACTCGGCCAGGGCATCCTATATTTTAAAATAATTATTCTCACTTCTGGCCTGTGTGGCTCAGTTTGTTGAGCACAGTCCCAAGTACCAGACAGGCCACCAGCTGGATTCCCCCTCAGGGCACAAGCCCCAGTAAGCCGTACGCAGGAGGCAGCCAACTGATGTTTCTCTCAGGGATGCTTCTCTCTTTCTCTCCCTTCCTCTCTCTCTAAAAAAAAAGAAAAAATATTGATAAAAACCTTTTTTTTTTTTAATAAAATAGTTTCATTCATTCTTTGAGCATTTCTTCATTACAGGTTCAGTGCTAAGTATGGGCATAAAGTCCCATCTTTGAAACTCAGAGCCTAATGGATAAAACATCCAGTCAGTCCACTAGTATTTACTAAGTGCCTACAACTGTAAAATGAGTTTATTGCTTTAACATAGGCAAGTAGATTCAACTCAAAACTTGTTCCTATCTGTCTCGTATGGTCCTCTGTTAAAAGTACGTTTTACTCTTGTTTTTCCCAACCTGATTAAACCCTTTCCCAAGGCAGACACTGTCTCTTAATTTCACACAGCCAAGCAAAAGGCTGGCACAAAGAAGGTACTCAGCAAGTCTCATGGGAAATAACTGTTGAGAAAGAATACAAGCCCCCAGTTCTTCTGGATCCCCATCTTGTCAGATGTCTGGGCCACCCGAGTCGGATTCAGTATCGTTTCCCATCACGGGGAAGGAAGGTAGTCACTGCCCCAAACTCCTCTGGGACTACTCCTGGGCCAAATGGCAGGACGCGCCCTATAAGGGGCAAACTCCAGGGATATGTCTGTGTCTGAGACCTGGTTTTATTCACGCACACCTCTACCCTCACTCCACACAAAAGATCAGGAAGCTCATAGGTGTCCTCCTAGTGTACAGTCCCTTTTTTCCTCCCCCATCCCCCAGGGCCTAGGACCAACCCCACTGTTTTCAAATAAAACTCGGTTGTTAGCTATGGGTTCAAACCCTGGCCTCACCATCAACTAACTAGGCGACTTTGCATCAGCCACCGAACCTCTCTGAGCTTGTTTCTTCACCTATAAAGTGGCGCTGATAATTCTACCTCAGGGGACCGTGGTGAGGAAGAAAATACTGCCTGGAAAATGCCCGGCGCACACAGGAACTACTTGACAAAAGTGAAGGGGTGACTCTCTTCAAATGCGGCAAGATGACAAAGGTAAGGGGGAGCAGGCTGGAGATCCGAGCGGGAGGTGGGGGAGGGGGGAGCCTATAGGCCGACCAGGCAGACAGGGCGGGAAGCCGCGGCCCGCAGGGCGGGAAGCGGCAGAGGCGGGCGGGCGCAGCTAACAGCTCAGGCAGCGGCGGCCGCGTCCCCTTACCCGCTCCCCACTACTTCACCGTCCCCTCCCCAGCCCCTCACCTCGCTTGATCACATGCATCGCAGCTAGTGGCTGAGGCACTACGAATTCAATACGGGTCTGCAGCGCTGAAGCTACGGCAAGATCTAGAAGGTGGCGGAGTGCGAAGGGTCGAACTCCAGGGGCTGCTCAGGTGCTGGGAGTTGAGTTGGGCCAGAGGGCACGTTCCTCCGCAGACCAAAGGCGCGAAACTCCGAACGTCCTTCCCGCCCTGCCGCCCGCGACGCAAAAGCTACCCGACGTAGCTCGACTGACGTTGCTCTACGCTGCCAGCGCCCCGGCGGGTGGGCAGGACTAGAAAAGCAGAAAGTCAGTCTCGCCCGTTAGCCGCCATGCTGACCGTAGGCGGGGCCCAGGAAACCGAGCCCCTTTCCAGCAGCAGTGGGTGTGGGCAAGCCGGGAAGGAGTTGGCTCTCTCGCCGCCATATTAAGTGTGGGCAGGGCCCACCCGACCGCACCTCTCCCATAGCTGCATTGGGTGTAGACTCGCCTAGAGAGAACGCTGATCTCTCGCCGCCATGTTGGGTGTGGGCAAAACCGGAGCCAAGCCTGGAACCGGACCTAGCACTCGGAGCCAGCCAGGCCTGGCCCCCTCGCTCTCGGCATCGCATCCGCGCTGAGGTAAAGACGGGTCAAGTATTTTGAAATGACAACTAAAAACCATCAATCCAAAACATTTTTTCTTGTCTTTACTACTGTGCTATTATGATGAGAGCTGTAGCTTTGAATCTGTAGTGGGAGGCAGCCAGGAGCCCCTGGGCTATTAGGTCAGCAGAAAGCCTAGCAGCACTCAGTCTGATTGGAAAAGAGCCTTGCTAGGCGAGGGCGTTTGGATTTTATCCTGACGGAAATGCGAGCCCTGAGAGTTTTGAGAAGGGCAGGGACAAGATCCATTTGCTTTTAGAGATCTCCAGGGGACGGTGGCAGAGATAGGGTCAGCAATAACTACTTGTAGAGGTAGAATACACATGGCTTGGTGACTGAATGTGGGGAGAGTAGATGAGATATAATATATAAGGCTGATGTAAAAGCTTATGATCTGGGTTACACAAACTGATTTATATGAAACCTCATGTAGCGTTCCCTCCCTAAAATCTTTCATTGGTTTGTTTGTGTATGTTTTTAAGGATAAAATGTCTTATTTATAGTCTTATAGTAAAGGGGGAAGCCTTAACTTGCAAGGTAATTCTTTGGCAGTATGTATCCTCCAGATGTGTCCCAATCTCCCTGTGAAGTAATTCCTTTTTTTAATGTGAAAATACTATTTTATTGTTTTTCAATTACAGTTTACATTCAATATTGTTTTGTATTAGTTTCAGGTGTATAGTATAGTGGTTAGATAATTATATACTTTAGAAAAGTGTTCCCCTCGATATTTCCAGTACCCACCCGGCACCATACATAGTTATTACAATATTATTGTAATAATTATTTTGTAACTACCAATTTGTACTTCTTAATCCCTTCACCTTTTTCACCCAGTTCTCCAAGCTCCCTCCCCTCTGGCAACCATCAGGCTGTTCTGTCAATGAGTCTGTATCTGTTCTGTTTGTACTGTTCTTTAGATTCCACATGTAAGTGAAATATGGCATTTGTCTTTCTATGACTGACTTGTTTCACTTAGCATAATACCCTCTAGATCCATCCATGCTGTTGCAAATGGTAAGATCCTTTCTTATGGCTGAATAGTATTCCATTGCATATATGTACAACTACTTTTTTATCCACTTGTCTACTGATGGACACTTGGGTTGCTTCCATATCTTGGCTATTCTAAATAACACTGCAGTGAACACTGGGATGCATATATTCTTTCAAATTAGTGTTTTGGGTTTCTTCGGATATATACCAAGAAGTGGAATCATTGGGTCATAAGGCAGTTCCATTTTTAACTTTTTTAGGACCCTCTGTACTGTTTCCATAGTGGCTGCACCAATCTCCATTCCCACCAACTGTGCACAAGGGTTCCCTTTTCTCCACATCCTTGCCAACACTTGTTGACCTGTGAAGTAATTCTAAAAGTCATTGGTCATAGGTGAAGTTATAGGATAGGTAGGGTCAAGATGACCCAGAGTTAGGGTTGCCAGATTTAGCAAATAAAAATGTGTCCCAAACGTTGCATGGGACAATTATACTAAAAACATTATTGCTTATCTGAAATTCAAATTTAACTGGGCATCCTGTATTTCATCTGGTAACTACCCAGAGACCTTTTGGGTATGTGTATTTAGAGTTTCATTTTCCCTTGGCAGAGCAGAAATAGTCTCTTCTTCATCCTGTCTGCTATGCCACAAAGCACAGAGAACACCATAAGAGTCAAAGCCAGCAGAGGTTAAAATCTCCTACATGCTTTATTGGACTTCAAAGAGTCTTATGAAATAACACAGAAAAACCCATGTGAGGGTGTCCAGGGGGTACAAGGCAGTCTGCAGCCTAGCCCCCTCCTAAGACCAGCACAGGTACCCCCACCCCAGGCCCAAAATAGGATCCCAGAGTAAAGGCATGTCAGGGAGTGAGGCAAAGGGAAAATACCTTTACAGCCATAGCAAAAACAGGTAGGAAAGAGAGTTGTCTAGAGGGTGGGAAGGGTGGGGGGAAGTGGTCACATAGCCACCTTCACCTACACCATCTTCCTTAGCCACCCCCTTCCCTAAATTGGCTGTGTCCTTTTTGAGCCTCTGGCCCAGGGTATGCAGTAACATGAAAACAGGGTCTGACAAAGGGAGTGTGTGGTGCAGGCACTTGGGAAATTCAGGAGATTTCTTTTTTTCAATTTTAAACTGTCTTTTGGTTCAAATACAACAACATCCTGCCCATCAGCTCCAGGGCCCCATTAGAGACCTGTATCATGGCTAAGGTTCCCATGGCCAGGGGAGCCAATTGTCCTGGGCATCAGGAGTACTGATGCTTGGGGAGCATTTGGGCAGCACCTCTTACAGACAAACCATCCTGCAATGTGAGGGAGCAGGGATAAGAGAGAGACAGGTGTGGGTGAGAGAAGAGAGAAAAGGTGACTGCCTTGGAGCCCATAGCTCTGGCATCTACTCATCCTCCAACTAAGAGAAGTCTCTCCCCATCTATCCATTAGCCTTGCCCTCTTCAAAACTCTCTAGTGGCTTGTTCTCTGGGGATTGGTTTCACTCCCCCATGGGCTCCTGGAGGCCTGAGTGAGCTTCAAGCCAAGATTTCCTGTGGCCCATCACACTCCCAACAACAAACCTCAAATATTAGGCTCTAGGACCCAATTTGGGGCACATAGAACCATTGTAGGTAAGGTGGAATAGATTTGAGGCACAGGTGTCAGAAGTTACTACTCCTGTCTTCCCCCCTAGCTGCTAGGGGAAGTTGGGGAGTGGTGGGAGGGAGGAGCCTGAAAGCAGGAGACAGAAAAAAAAACAACAAGAAACCAAACCTCAAAACTGGGACAGCAGAGACAGAAGCTGGACCTCAGAGGTGGAGCTGGTAGCTGAGGGGACAGCGACTAAGACATGCACTGAAGTAGAGAAGGAGTGATAGCAGCAGCCCATGGTTGAGAGGGAGGCAGGACAGGCAGGCCATGGTGGTCAGTTAATAAATAATGTTGAAGGACCCAAGGATGAGGAGGGCAGGTTTCCACAGTGCCCAGGCCCCTGGGCCAACCCCTCCCATGCCCCACTTTAGGGGCCAGGTATCTTGGAAGGCAGGGAAGGGGAGGCAGAAGACCAGGGAAGGACAAGCTGTCCTGCCACTGCCACCCTCATCCTGCCTACTTCTTAGGTTTCTTAAACATTTTGAGGGGAAATTTCTTCCGGCCTGGGCTGGAGTCTGCCTCCTCGCCAATGGAGCCATTATCCTCCTCAGCCACCTTCTTGCCAGCCAGGTGGGGAATGCGTGTATTTCGGCTGGCCTGCAAGGCTCGGCTGTCCCCAACTGGAGATGGCGTGTCTGGGTCTGGGGAACTGGGGCTGTGAGAATGGGAAGAATCCAAAGGTGGAGAGCCACCAGGTAGGGCTGAGGGGTTCAGCTCCATCAGGCTGTGGGCCTTGTCCAGCCCATGGTTCAGCGCCAGTAGTGCCTTCTTGGCCAGGGCAGGGCTGTCAGGCAGTTTCTCCACCACAGACCCCTCAATCATCCGATGGCTGCCGTTGGAAGTCATGGCATTGAGAGCCTCATCTGCAGCACGGACCATCTGAGGAGGCTTGGGGGCCATACGCTGGCGGTCACTCATGTGGAGGGAGGACTCCGAATCTGAATGGGTCAAATCCCTGCAAGACAAGGCAAAGAGGAAGAAAGGAACACATACAGGTTGGGGGAATGGGAAAAGTTGAAGAGGAGAGAGAGAGAGAGCACGAAAAGGCAGGACAGGGTTTGAAAATGGGGGTAAAGAGAGGGGCAGGAGAGAGAAAAATAGGATGAACAGGCATAGTGGGAAAGAGAGAAGAATGAGAAACAGACGGAAGATGAGTAGGTCATAAGTACAGGATGACAGAGGAGGCAGGAATAGGGAATGGAGATAAATTGGAGAAGAGACAGGGGGAAGAAAATAAAATTGGGAAAGAAGAAAAGCAAAAAGAGAAGCAGGGCCAAGGGGAGAGAAAAAGAATGGGAAGAGTGATGGGGAAAGAAGACAGACAACAAGTAAAAACAAATGTCATTATACCATCATCTGTGGGGCAAAGGGCTTTCTAATGCCTGGGCCCCACCCCTGATGAATGGCCAGGCCCTAAACTAAGGCAACCACAGGCTTCAGTACCACAGGCATCATCCTCAGTAACATCTCTGCTTTCCCATAGCTGGTTAGATTTCTTAGGGTTCAACCCTACCTAACACAGAACCCACATCTTGCTCTGAGTCACCATTTTCTATGCCTTCCTCCCCCTCTTACTCCTGTCACACCCTGGGACACATCCAGTCTGGGCCAACCCCCAAGAAACAGGGCACATGCAGTAAGTGGGCCTGACCCAGGCTGGGGAGGAGATAGTCAGAACAGCCTTGCAAACAATCTCTCACCCACCCCAAAAGGGCCAGGATGCTGCCTCTTTCAACCCTCTCACAGGATTCAAAGGGGGTCATAGAGATGTGTTTCAGAGTTCAAACCAAAGTCGGCTGGCAGCAGGAAGGGTGGGGTCTTTTTCAAAGCTCTGCTGACAGGGAGAATGGAGGGAGGTGCAGAAAGACAGGATGTTTGGCCTTTATGGAGCAGTGGTTCAGAAGTGCTGCACACTAGAAATCATAAGGTTTGATTCAATTTCCATCTCTGCCTGAGGTTTAGACAAGTCATCTAACCTTGCAGATCCTAAATTTGGGCCAAATGAAGACAATAACAATTCAATTATCTTGCAAGACTGTTTGGAGGATCAATTATGTTGGCAAAGCACTTGGAAATGTAGAAAGTATAGTGGAAATGAAGATGAGGCGGTCAGTCTAGCTGAAAGATCCATATGTGGGCCAGTCACAAGAGGCTTCTTTGCAAGGCTGAGTTATGGGGCCATGGCACTGCACACTGGACATGCACACACAGAGGCTAGTCCAGAAAGTCGAGACCCTTTTAGGAGCTGGCAATTCCTAAGAAGGCCATGAACCAATGCTGGATGCTACCCCTCCTGCCTCTACAGGAAAAAGGTACATGTGGGCGTCCCCTACCAATCCCTTAACCTTCCTTCTGCCTTCCCAGAGGCCTGAGAACCCAGAGAAGAGGGCTAAGAGAAATGCTTAAACATCCAAGTCAGGAAGCCAAAGGGAAAGTGTCAGGAGTGGGAGAGAGGAGCACCATAGGATCTGGAAAGAAGGAAGCTTGTAGGTCAAAATTTAGGAAAGGCTCCAGGCTCCTAAAATAGGCAAAAGTGGGAGGCGGGCTCATAGCTATTATACAGGGGTGGGCAAAAGTAGGTTTATAGATGAGAGTACACAAAACAATTTATTCTTGTATTATTTCTTAATTTCCATACAAATAACTGCAAACCTACTTTTGCCCCACCTTGTAGGTTTAATTCTCAGTAGGAAACAAGTAGGCAGCCACTCATGAATCAGTACCTTCCTAGAGATAGGGGATAACAGAAAACAATTCCAGCTCCAACTCCCATTCTACAAATAATTGTTTCAGCCACATACTCTTGTGTTTACCAATATTTGGTCTCATATTTGGTTTCATAATATCTGATGCTGTCCTTGCTTCTATCTCAATGTATACCCTTGCTTCTCTAAGCCCTAAGATGATCCTCTCCATATCTTGCCTTTTCCACACACATATGAACCACCACTGAGCATGATGCCAAGGAAGTTCTGAGGAGCAACTCCACTGGGAAAGGGGCCCTCTAGGCTGAGGAGGTGAAGATCCTAGGAGCCTACCTTTCTGTGTGTGTGTGTGTGTTTTGGTTTTTGTTTGTTTTTAATTGATTCTAGAGAGAGAGGGAGGGAGAGAGAGAAAGAGGAGAAACATCTATATGAGAGTGAAACATCGATTGGTTGCTTCCCACATGCACCCCAACCAGAAATCAAACCTGCAACCTTCCCGTGCATGCGATGACGCTGCAACCAACCGAGCCACACCAGCCAGGAGGTAGCCTACCTTTTTAATGCCAAGGAAGAGAGGTCAAAGGGTTGGGGCCCTCTCAGATTCTTTCTTCCAGGCCCACAGCCCCATTTGGTCATGTTTCCCGTCTTTCTATGCCTTCCCCATCAATTAAAAGCTAAGACTCCTAAAGCAAGAAAAGAACCTGGGAGGAAGCCTGGGTGGATATAGGAGGGACAAGGTCCAGTGAGGCAAGCTCATCTTCCGTCCCTGAATCTTTGAGACAATTCAAGCCAGGGGTGTCCCTCCCCAAAGGCTGGGCTGCCTTGAGCTCCCATCCCAAGCTACTAACCTTACTAGAGAGCCTGTTAGCCTTTAGAGACGATCCTCTGGTGCGTGGTGCAAAAGAAAATTAAGTAGTGAACAGGCCAGGTGGATGCAGGTACCTTC